TTGAAAGAATCAAAGGCAACACAATTGAACAACAGAATTCAAATGAAAAATAGCTGAAATAATCATTCTAATTAATTAGATCAATGATGTCATAGTCCTTTAGGTTGTTAATTGAAATCAGGGGACATGGCCAGATATAGGCAATGGCAGAGTCAGCTGTTGGTAGTCAGGCTTGCCATTCTCCAGTTTGCATTTGCAGGCAGAGGCCCCATGATTGGCCAGCCCACATGACCAACATTTTTGACTAAACCTGCATTAGGATGAAGCACAGCCTGTTGCCCAGCTAAATCTTTGGCCGACCTCATCACTCAGTCTGTATGGGTGGGGGCGTCAATCTGCCGGAGTGGTGGGAGGGGCCAGGGGACAGTCATTGCGATGATCATGCGACTGGCAGAGCCAGCAAGCTGCCCAGCCGCCTGGAGAACATTTGCAGCGAGCATTGACAAATTCAGCTCCATTCATGGGAGGTCGTGGCCTGCCCTCGGAGCTGACAGAAGTGTCGTATGCCAACCCCCCGTGTTCATGACCCAAGTTTAGAATGATCTGGCCGTAGGCCATTAGTTCTCCTGACCCCTGGCAATTAACCTTGGCTGCCCCGAAGGTCAGAGCAATGAAGCCAGGTCTCTACGTCCCCAATCTCTCTGAGGCGGAGAGAAGGGCCGCTCAGTGGTCCAGAGTCTACGACCCTCTGTCATAGGGCAACATTGTCCATTAGCAGATCATGGAAGTCTACGGAGGCGCCCAATCTGATGGCCTCCACGACCTTTCCAAGAACAGGTGGGAGGGGTGAGGAGAGGACTAAAGGCGGAGTCTTGGAATGATCCAGGTTGGCCAGTGGCATAGCCAGCAGCGTGGCCAAGGAAGGAGGCGTCCCAGCGGGGAAAGAATGGTTGGTGGCTATCCGGTGCTGGAGTGCCAGATGTACCAAGATGGCTACCTGTCCACAAGGTCGGGGCAGAATTCATGAAGGACAATAGGTTGGAACCTATAGAAGGAAGAGTAAAAATAAGCATCATTCTTAGAAGTGAGAGCGCCCATAGGGGGAGCGTCCCCATTGACTCAATAAAGACCCAGCAGGTTCAATGAGCATCATACATAAAAGTGTGAATGCCCATAGGGGGAACGTCCCCGTTGACTCAATAAAGACCCAGCGGGATCAATGAGCATCATTCATAGAAGAGTGAATGCCCATAGGGGGAACATCCCCGTTGACTCACTAAAGACCCAGCGGGTTCAATGAGCATCATTCATAGAAGAGTGAATGCCCATAGGGGGAGCGTCCCTATTGACTCAATAAAGACCCAGCGGGATCAATGAGCATCATTCATAGAAGAGTGAATGCCCATAGGGGGAGCATCCCTGTTGACTCACTAAAGACCCAGCGGGTTCAATGAGCATCATTCATAGAAGAGTGAATGCCCATAGGGGAAGCGTCCCTATTGACTCAATAAAGATCCAGCGGGATCAATGAGCATCATTCATAGAAGAGTGAATGCCCATAGGGGGAGCATCCCCGTTGACTCACTAAAGACCCAGCGGGTTCAATGAGCATCATTCATAGAAGAGTGAATGCCCATAGGGGGAGCGTCCCTATTGACTCAATAAAGACCCAGCGGGATCAATGAGCATCATTCATGGAAGAGTGAATGCCCATAGGGGGAGCATCCCCGTTGACTCACTAAAGACCCAGCGGGTTCAATGAGCATCATTCATAGAAGAGTGAATGCCCATAGGGGGAGCGTCCCTATTGACTCAATAAAGACCCAGCGGGATCAATGAGCATCATTCATAGAAGAGTGAATGCCCATAGGGGGAGCGTCCCTGTTGACTCACTAAAGACCCAGCGGGTTCAATGAGCATCATTCATAGAAGAGTGAATGCCCATAGGGGGAGCGTCCCCGTTGACTCAATAAAGACCCAGCGGGTTCAATGAACATCGTTCATAGAAGTGTGAATGCCCATAGGGGGAGCGTCCCCGTTGACTCAATAAAGACCCAGCGGGATCAATGAGCATCGTTCATAGAAGTGTGAATGCCCATAGGGGGAGCGACCCCGTTGACTCGATAAAGACCCAGCGGGTTCAATGAGCATCATTCATAGAAGTGCAAATGCCCATAGGGGGAGCGTCCCTATTGACTCAATAAAGTCCCAGCAGGATCAATGAGCATCATTCATAGAAGTGGGAGTGCCCATAGTGGGAGCATCCCCGTTGACTCAATAAAGGCCCAGCGGGCTCAATGACATAGAAGTGGGAATGCCCATAGGGGGAGCGTCCCCATTGACTCAATGAAGACCCCATGGATTCAGTGGGGAGTATGAGCAGTGGGGGTGCCCACTGGTGGAGTTGAGTTGGGGAGGGTGCGACTCCTCCCGAGTGTAGTTGCCCCACCCCAAAGGAGAGGGGGAGAGAAGGAGAGGAGAACAGGATAGGAAATAATAATAATAACACAACATTACCAATAAAATAATAATAATAATAATAACAATAATAATAATAATAGAGAGAGAG